GACATTCCTTCCTTTTAAAAAGAGCAGATAGATATTGTGAATTGTGCTGCTATAAACATTGATGTGGCTCTGTCCCTGTAATATGCTGTTTTTAAGTTTGTGATGGACATTATTAATTAAAGTACATGTATGAAGACACAATTGGTGTGAATATACTTTGTATACAATGGGAGATGTGAAAAATTGTGCTCTATATGTGTAATAAGAATTGTAATGCATTCCACTGTCATATATAAATAAAAAAATAATTTAAAAAAGCAGCTAGAAATAAAGAACTTTTTAGATGATATAGCATTAATAGTAACAGCATAATAATGTTTTTGTTAACAAAGAAAGACAAAGAGGACAAGGTGGGAAAAGGACAAAATACACTCTGCAGATGTAGGGTTTGGCAGGAGTGGAAGGTTGAGTAATATAAGTGGTAAAGGATTCAGCTGAAGAAATGGACTGAGGACAGCCTTGGAGGGTACTGAATGCCAGACTAAGAAATTGATAGCTTAATGGGAAAAAAAAAACAACAGGAATTATGGGAGAAAGTCACCCTTAATTCCTGGCCTTTTTGAATTCTTAAATTTCTAGGACAGTGGTTCCCTACAATGTTTTATTTCACATCTCTACTCTTTCCCACCATCTGCAAAAGTCACCAAATAATTATAGAAGACTAGATACTGAAGAAAAAATTGTCTTTAATAGAATCCACAGCTTATATCCCTTGTTTAAAGATGGGAAAGAAAACAAATGGGTAAAACTGAGTGCTTGAAGATAAAATACATCATTTCCAGTTATTACACTCTTACCTTTTAATTTATCTTTAATATTTTCTGATAAATGTTTTGTGAGCTGAGACATTTCTTCTGGAATATATTCAGCATTTGCCAGTTCCTCCTTGAGCACAGTGTGGATACAGTCTTTAACCACAGAGGGTCTGAACCTAAATGAAAAATTTGAGAACATCTAATTGGTAACCCCAAAATCCCAACTTGCCTTCACACTTCAACTTCCCCAGGTTTTTTTTTTCTTTTTGTCCTGCTTTCTCATATTTTTTTCATTATAAAAGTAATAGAAACAAATCAATATAACAAGTCATATCCCAAATTTCTCTCTATAGCCTAGACTATCCCTGAACCTCAGATCAACAAATATTCCAATGTCTAATAAGCAATTTTTTTTTTTTTTTTTTTTGGTGATGCTGGATATTGAACCCAGGGCCTGGTGCATGCAAAGCAAGCACTCTACCAACTGAGCTATATTCCCAGCCCAGAAATTCAAATTAAATTCATTCAGTATTGAGTTTCTCCTCTCCATAGACTAGGTCTCTTATGGTTTTTCCCATCTCAGTCAATCGGAACTCTATTCTTCCAGTCTTGTTGGTGAGAAAATCTTATCTATTCTACCTTCAAAATAATCTAAAATTCAATCACTCTTACCACCCCATCACCACCATCTTGTTCCAAACTACTATTTCCATTATCTTTTGCCTGGATAATTCATTCAGTAAAGGCCAGTGTCTTCACTCTAACCTATAAGGTATCATGTGACCTACCACAACAAATTTTCTGACTTTGTTTTCTAGTACTTTTTGCATACTTCTGTACTCAGGCCACACTGGCCTTCCTTATGTTCTTTTATTTTTTTTTAACATTTAAAAAATTATTTAGTTGTAGATCAACACAATACATTTATTTATTTTTATGTGGTGCTGAGGATCAAACCCAGTGTCTCACATGTACTTGGCAAGTGCTCTACCACTGAGCCACAGTCCCCATCCCCTTCCCTAGTTCTTTAACCACACCAGGCATACAAAGCTTTGTGCCTCTATAATTGCCATTATCTCTGCCCAAAGTTTAATTCCTCCCTATACAAGCATGTCTAGCTCCCATACTTCTTTTTATTTTTAGCTGTATATGGACACAATAACTTTATTTTATTTATATGCGGTGCTGAGAACCAAACCCAGGGCCTCACACATGCTAGGCAAGGCTCTACTACTGAGCCACAACCCCAGCCTTCCATCACTTCCTTTTTTTTTTCTCCCTCCCTTACTTCTTAAAAGTCTTTAAAAAGTCACCCTTCCTAGCTACACTCAACAAACTTCAAAGCACCCTCTGTCCCTTCCTGGCATTTGTTACCAGTTACCCTCTGATACATTATATACTTTACTTTTGTATTTCTTATTTATTGTCCTTCAACTCTGCTAGACATAAAATCCACGAGAGTAGAGATTATTTGTCTGTTTTTTTCAGTAATACTCCCTTTTCCTGTAACAATGCCCAGCACATAATAAATACTAAATAAATGGGAGGGGGTTGGGTTTTGTTGTTATTGTTGTTTTGTTTTTTGTTTCTTTTATTTGTTTATTTTTGGTATGGGATTGAACTCAGGGACACTAGACCACAGAGCCACATCCCCAGCCCTATTTTGTATTTTATTTAGAGACAGGGTCTCACTGAGTTGTTTAGCATTTCGCTTTTGCTGAGGCTGGCTTTGAACTCAAGATCCTCCTGCTATAGTCTTCTGAGCCACTGGGATTATAGGCCTGTACACTGTGCCCTGCTGATTTTTGGGGGTTTTTTTGTTTGTTTGCTTGTTTGTTTGTTTTGTTTGGTACTGGAGATTTGAACCCAGAGGTGCTCTACCACTGAGCTATATCCCCTCCCCTTTTTACT